GGCCAAGGAAGTTCATCGGTTAGCTAGTTTGGGAGATCATTTTACAGACTCTAGTAAAGGAGGGTAATCGTGCAAAACAAGGCTAAATCATCGCTGGTTGTGGAAGTCAAGGAGAAGCACTACGACAATCCGTTGTTGGTACAGTTGAAGGAGGGTATTCATAAACATAAGACTATGGCTTTTTCTCTTGGCATGGATGATGGTACGCTAAGGTACCAAGGGCGACTATGTGTTCCAAATGTGGATGGTCTCTGGGAAAGAGTCATGACCGAGGTTCACACTTCTAGATATTCCGTGCACCCGGGCTCTACGAAGATGTATCATGATCTTAAGGATGTCTGCTGGTGGAATGATATGAAGAGGAATGTAGCAGACTTTGTAGCAAGATGTCCAAATTGTCAGCAAGTGAAGGCCGAACATCAAAGGCCCGTTGGGTTGGCACAGAACATAGGAATTCCAATGTGGAAGTGGGAGATGATCAACATGGACTTTGTGGTAGGGCTACTTCGCACTCCTCATAAGTTCGACTTGATTTGGGTGATTGTGGATCAACTCACAAAATCAGCACACTTCTTACCTGTTAAGGCTACCGACATAGCAGAACATTATGCTCAGTTGTATATCAAGGAAATAGTCAGGTTGGACGGCACTCCAGTTTCTATTATCTCAGATCGAGGGGCACTGTTCACAACTAAGTTTTGGAAGAAATTTCAGCAAGGTTTGGGTACTGAACTGAATCTTAGTACAACCTTTCACCTGCAGACTAACGGGTAGGCAAAGCGGACTATTCAGACACTTGAGGATATGTTGTGCGCTTGTGTTCTTTACTTCAAAGGTAGCTGGGATGATCATTTTAAACTCATAGAATTTTCCTACAACAACAGTTATCATTCTAGAATTCAGATGGCACCGGTCGAGGCTTTATATGGTAGGATATGTAGATCTCCCATTAGATGGTTTGAGATTGGGAAAGCAGAGTTGATAGGACCAGACCTCGTGCATCAGGCTATGGAGAAGGTTTAGATCATTGAGGAGCGGTTGAAACCCGGTGTTTCACGTATCCATGTTGAAGAAGGTGGTTGGAGATCTATCGCTTATTGTTCCACTTGAGGCTATTGAGGTTAATAAGGAATTGACTTATGAAGAAATTCCAGTTTCCAATCTTGATAGGCAAGTCCGTAAGCTGAGAAATAAAGAAATTTCCTCCGTGGAAGTGTTATGGCGAAACCAACAGGTGGAAGAGGCCACCTGGGAGGTCGAGGAAGAAATGAAGAAGAAGTACCCTTATTTGTTTGAGTATATATGTATTTATGAAGTTGTGTTCTATGAAAATGCTAAGAGTTACACTTCTATGAATTATGTTTCGCTTGTAAAATTGATGTTAAGGGTGTTTCTTTTGGTAATATACTGCTCATGAGACCACGGTTGGTATTGTTTTCATGTTATGTTATGTCATTGGTTTATGTATATGTTGTTAGGTTTGGTTTCTGGGATTCTCTAACAAGTGGATAGGTTCAATTACAAGGGAAACTCTCGCAAAACTTTTGAAAATTTAGGGAGTTAGTCAAACTAATTGGGAACTGTTGGTGTGTGAAGTAATAGCTGAATCACATTGGATGCTAAAGGCGGATTTTGTCCCTCATTCGAGGACGAATGATCTTAAGTGGGGGAGGATGTAAGGCGCTATAAATTTCTGGAAAGTAATTTAAGGTTTCGTGGTGCCTAGGTAGGCTAATGTATTGTATTTTCGGACCTTTTGGGTTGCACAGTGCATTGGGGAATTGTATCATTTTGGCCTCGCGTCGCCCAGCTCCTAGCGCGCTAAACCATGCTATATCCCTCACGAAGCTTGGTGTGTAGCACGCTAGACCGTGCTATATTCCTCGCGAAGCCTAGTCTATAGCGCGCTGTAGAGCTCATCTAGCCTGGTCTATAGCGCGATCCGGATTTCGGAGGGTCTATTCTTCTATTTTTATAACCCGACCCTATCTCGATAAATAGACGTAAGGGGCCATGTTTTAAGGGAATATATGATATTTTTAGAGAGAGGAAGTGCCCTAGAGTGAGAGGAGAAATCCCTATGCTAATTGTTCATCCAAAATCTTGCTCAAGCCTTGAAATTCAACAACAAAGCTCACTAGGTCTTCAACCAAGAGGTAAGATTCTAACCCTAACCTTCATTTTGAAATTTTGTTTGGGAATAGGTAATGGGGAGAAAGGTTTTGAGAATGAGGGTTGTTGTTTATGCATGCATGTACTAATATAGGTGGTAGGGAGGTTGTGGAGTAATTGTGGGTGGATTATTGAAGTAGGGGTTGATTGTGGGGTAAAGGAGTCCACCATAGGAGGACCTGGAGACCTTAATGCACACCCAGTGCTTGATTAAATGCTCAAATGAGCTGAACCCCTGAGAATCTTCCTAATTATAGTTAAATTTTATCATGTATTTAATTAAATTGAAGTCGCTAGGAGTTTCGGAACGTTGTAGTAAAATAAAGAAAGTTCAATCAAGGTATGTTGGCTAAACTCCTCTTTTAGAATTGAACCCCCACAATATCCTTGTAAATCCCGAATTGTTCATTATAAATTGATTATTCCGAATAAGCCTTGTGTCCAAAGATATATGTGTTCAATACGTATTCCAAATGTTTTTGTTATGTTGTGTTACTATTTAAGAATGTGTTCAAAGTATGGGTTGCATATCTAAATGTTATAACTTCAAGTCGTGATTCTAATGAAAGCTATTATGCCAAATTGTGTAAGAAATCTCAATGTGCTTAAGACTCTTACTTGCTCATATGTGTACTTAAAGTCTTGAATAGAAATATTTTTTTGTCGATGATTCGTGATGATGTTTGAAAGTGAAAGAGGTGAGCATGAAATATGAAATACGGCCAATGTGCCAAAAATGATATTACATTTGGGGCCATTAGTGCCATGAAACAAAGAGGCGTGTAAAAGATGTTGAAATGAGTTGTAAATCCTTTTAATAATAAACATTTCGGGAGTATCGTTAGTCGCCGAGGAAGGGTAGGTTGAAATAGCCTAACCTTGAAAATACACATGCCGGTGTAGAAATGAATTGTAATTATTTCCCTCATTTGGGATGAGATTGATGTGATGAGAATATTCCTCTTTTTTGGCATGAGATGATTGCTAGAAAAGGGTGATGTCGATCCACACTGCATTGTGGTGAGACGGCCTAGCCGATCAGGTCGTGTTTGGACGCCATGTCTCATACATGGTGGTGATTGTGCTTTATATTGTGATTGAGATAATGATTGAAGTTTATGATAGTAATTGTGATTGTGGTTGATTTCTTCGGGTGAGACAACATAGCCGATCGGGTCGTGCTCGGACTCCGTGCAAAATACACGATGGTATATCTATATCGGTGCTATATCTACATCGGTGCTAATATCTCTCAACCTAAAATAATGGAAATCTAATTGAAAAGTTATCTTGCTCCTAACTTGATGTTTAGTATTGTTTGAGGCTTCCGTTGATTCTGTGACTGTTCTTTCTTGTAATGCTACATGTTCTAATGAGAGGGTGTTTAGTCATACATACTAGTACGATTCCATATGTACTAACGTCCCTTTTGCCGGGGGCGTTGCATCTTTAATGGATGTTGGTGGTTCCGCAGCAGGTGGCATTGATCATTGATAGCATCACACCCTCTTCCCAGCAGATTTGGTGAGCCCCACTTCATTCCGGGGTCATGTATCTCTTGTTCTTTATACATAGCATTTTGAGGTATAGCCGGGGCCTTGTTGTCTTCACTGTCATATCACTCTTTCGTTTCTGTAAGAGGCTCCGTAGACGTAGTGTGGGGTGTACCTTGTTTTGGGAAGGTTAAACTAAAAATGTTGTAATCGTATCACTTGCTCCACTTTAACTATGATTGTATAGTGTACTATTTTGGAGACTTGTTAATGATGTAACTTATGGAAATAAACTGGCGTTGTTCACATGACCTATTACCGTCTAATTAATGAAATGTATTCTTCTCATTATTCATGGGCGAGTTGGGTAGACGGTATTGTGCAGGCTTGCTCGACCAGGGTATCCCTATTGAGCGTCGGTCGCGCTCCCCAAGGTCATGGCGTGACACACAGAATAACTAAGTACCACTTTTTATTGAAGATAACTTAATGATATATTCATGTAAGCTTCACAAAAACCAACAGTAGTTCAAAGAGATTAAAGGGAGGGAAGTATTATACCAAGTATGTTTTGAATTAAACATGTATCTGAAGATTTTAACTAATCATGAGAAAACTGGGTTCAGTTATATAGCAATTACCAGTTGACTGTAACAAAATATGATCATGACTTGTTCTATGAAGAGGAAGATAGCTTAATCTTAACAGAATATCTAGTAGAGGTTCATGAAAAGAGGAAAATTCAATTCAAACAAGACTAGGTCAATAGATGCAACCAATAATTAGATGAGATCATGAGAATGTCATAGTGACAACCCAGAAATTGCTTCCAAAGTTAACAGATACAAGTATAGAGAAGAAAAGCACCTAAGCACTTAGATTTTCATGCTTAAGTTAAATGGTAGATGATATGAACTTAGGCACCTTCAGATTCATCTCAGTTATGATTATCAAACATTAAACTCAACCACAAGACAAACAGAATACAGAGAAGCAACATATAAACATAAATGTCACTCCAAAATCATCAATGAACGGTTGTGGAGCTTAGGTAAGTATGAACAATCATTCAAGACTCATTATAGCTTAAACATATAGACTGTTGGAACTCAGAAACAAAAATCATTGAGAATCACTTAATAACTTGATCAATCATCAATTAAAGAATCAAAAGGCATGACAAATAATCACGAGCAAACAATATACTCTCAGAACATAAGCATTCTCATACTAATTACAAACATCATAAACTATCTGTAATTCTCAGAAGATAACTAACACATTTATGGCATTCAAAAGAGATGAGCAAAAGAGAGAGATGAGGGATATGCTAACCGTTTTTAGGGCAGCAAACCAAACGAAGACTCTCTTAGTTTGAATAAGACCCCCAAAAACTTCAAGTTCGAAGCAGCGACAGTACCCAGAAATAAAAAAAGAAAGAAATAGTAAGGAACCCTAGCCTTTTGAACTCAAAATTGCTCTTAAGTGATCGTGTAGATGATTTCAGTGAGAGGTTGTCGTGTTCGTGTCCATGTGTTTGGTGAGAACATTAAAGGCCCCTTTTATAGTGCCATTAAGGCTCTGAGGTTTCACAAATTCAAACCAGTAGTGGAGAGTGACACATGGTAGATGATGATAGCAAATCGAGTGAAAATCAGAAAGAAACAAAGGGGGAAAGCAGGGTCGATTTTACCTGAGAGGAGGGATCGATTATTGAAGGCTTTGAACCAATGGACAAATCCTAAAACCCAGATGTCACTGCGTTGACCTCTGGGTATAGAATTTCATGATGAATCTCTGAAGGAATCTCCATGCATGCTCCGATTTGATGGAGCATAAGAGGATTTGAATGATTTAAAGTTTTGATGTTTAAGCTAGGGTTCCAGATATTAGGCGTTTGAATTTGAACGATGAAATGGGGAAGCAACCGGCGGGATTCGCGGATTCAGAAGGCATAGTGGATGATTTCTGGTCGATTTGTGACGTTGCACGAATTGGTGCAAGGTTTTTTTATTTATTAGGATGATATAGGTTGAGAGACGGAAGAGAGAAAAAGGGAAAGGAGGGCGGCGAGGTCAGAGGGGAAATGATTTTGGATTGGGGGTCGGTCTTTGAGGGTTATGTTTGAAAGATGAAATATGGGTCGTTTGATCATTTGATCAATGCCCCTGATAAATCGAGGCTTTATATGCTTAAAGAAATTAATTTGGAAAAATACGGGAACCGTTGGATTTGTGTGATCCACCGGTGGAGATACTATCTGATAACATGTCAAATTACAGAGAAAATGGAAATAATCGTGGGTCGTCGATGGTTTGGATCAACGACTTACATCATTTGTGTTTCTTATGTGAGTGTTGAAGACGGGTGATGTGGCAAGCGTTAATTGGTGCAAATATGGTGACTTGGATCGCCATGGTGGAAAAAGATGGGTTTTTGGGCTGGGTGTATTTTCGGACTCGGCTTGTCAATTGGGCCAACAATAATTTAAAAAATGGCATTTTACCTTTGATTTGAGAATTGCAATTGTGGCCTTTTGGTCTTTTAATACCTTTTGAATTTAATTTAAATAAACTTAATAGTTTTCAATAAATGTGGTAAAATTATAATTATTATATATACTACTAGTTACTTTAATTAATTAGCTATAAACAATACATAGTTTTTCTAAATTGTAGCACTAATTTTTGAATTTCTCATAATAATATAATTAACTAGAAATTAAAGAGTAATTTATCAAATTTATTATAGAACATATGTAATGTATATATAAAAAATATTTTAATAATCTTAAAAATAGTAAATATATTTATAATTACATAATGTTAACACTACGCGATTAATTTGAAAACTATCACTTAAACTAATTTGTAAGAATAGGTATTTGTTACTAGAAAATATTATAAAAATAATTATTGTAAATTATTAAGTATAAATAAATTAATATAAAAGGCGAGGGTCAAAATTGGCCGTCAACAACTGCCCATCTTTGATCAGAGACGATGAAAGGGTTTTCGGGCAAATAAATTGAACCAAAGCCAATTTTGTCCCGCCTTTAGGCAAGTATTGCAGGAAATGGGGATGGTGAATTGCAAGATTGAGTTAAGAAAGAATCTAGAAAGATTTGGGAGTATTGGGGGCCGAATTATAGCTTTGAATTGCTTATATACCTCGGGCTTAACAAGGATCAAGCCTCATATAGTTTTGGAGTAGAGATTTTGGGGAAGCGACACTCGCAGGAATTGCCCCAGTATCATATTATGACGATGCAGCAAGACAAAGGATTCGTCACTCATGATGGCTTGATTTTGAGGCCTGGTTTTGAATGATTCAAAATTTTGAGTTTCATTAATCGTCTTGAGCTTGGATCTTAGGCCCGCTAGTGTGTTGGTTGTCCCTATAGCGTTGTGGTTCGATCTACTGCTAAGAAAAAGTTCCACGTTGCGGTGTTTATTCCTACAAAATAAATAAAATATACGCATACCAATATATTAAGATGCGATGTAAATGATGCGGGAATGATGATGCCTGGCTGCCGGCGAGCCGTTATTTGGGATCGGGATAATGGGATACTTGATCTTGACTCGATTTGTTAGCCGGGATGTATACCGTTCTGCAGCTGTTGGAATATTTGAAAATTGTCTCCAATTGTTGGGAGAGCTTGATTGGTAGAGTGCGTCTTCGCTTGTTGGGAGAGATTTGCACTGAGGAATGTCTCCGCTTGTTGGGGGAGCTTGATTTGTAGAGTGTGTCTCCGCTTGTTGGGAGAGCTTTGCACTCTGATCTAAAGTAATCTCTGCTTGGAAGTGATTGACTAAAATCGTAATCATGCATGAAGTTGTAGGAGAAAAACATTAAAATATTCAAAGTAATAGTAAATGAAATGAAAGCATTCCCAAGAGATACTCTTGACTGCGAAACTAAGTTGCGGCCATCGATTGGCAGAACGTCGGTGAAGAGGTTTGTGACTGTCTATTCTGGCATCCGCTGCGACCGAGCGGTGATGCAAATTTCTTTGTTGATGGAGTTTGCAGTTTGCTATATATAAGGCTTCGATTGGCGAAGTCGTCGTTCGATTTGTACAGGGTGCTCTGATTGTTTGGGCTGACGGTTTGCTATATACAGGACTTCAATTGGCGAAACCAATGTTCAATTTGTATAGGGCACTCCGATTGATTGGGTTGACGATTTGCTATATACAGGACTTCAATTGGTGAAGTTGATCACTCTTTTTTTACATGGTGCTCCGATTGATTGAATAGGCGATTCGATATGTACAGGTTTTCCGTACCAGTTGTCTGATTCCGAGGTACCTGCAAAGGATTCAAAAGTTAGCTTTAGTTGTACCAGAAAATTTTAAGTGAAAGAGGAAAGAGATAGTCTTAGGCAAGTAGTGGATCCGTCATTTTTCCCAGTGTGGTTCTAGTGCTTCTTTATTCCCTGTCGACCCTGCACTCAAAGAAAACTTCTCAGTAGGGGGGAGTTGGTTTGTGTCGACCACAGTGTTGGTTTGCCCCGGCTTTTGGCATGATTGCACCGCGAAGTTTGGTAAATGAAACAAATTACTGTATAGGTATATTTGTTTTTTAGAAAACATTTTGAAAATGCTTTGTTTTTAAGGCAAATACCGTCGTTCCGGATTATGACATGTTACGAAAGATTCTCCACATGCGAACATATCCTCTTGAAATCTTTGTCATGTTAATGTCGATTTTCCGTGATGTTTCTGATAATGCGGTTGCTTGCTGTCGTGACTGCGTCCTAATTTGAATTAATGCATTACACAACTTTCCTAAGGTTATGACTGAACCCTTTCAGGTTGCCTACATATCCGAAATGGAATCAGGTCTGAACATAGTTTGTGGGTTGTGATCAAAATTACCGAGCCTTACTCAGGCAGCCTACGTATCCAAATGGAATCAGGTCAAATCGTAGTTCGATTACAACAGATGTAAAATCATGAGATTAAGAATGAAAATGGCCGAGTCTGACTTAGACTGCCTACGTATCCAACTGGAATCAGGCCAGAACATAGTTTAATTACAAAAGATGATTGAATCTGATGATGATTGCCTATGTATTCCTTTCTGAGGAAATCAAGTCGGTGTAGTTCTAGAGCAACATACAAAAGTGATATTTGGTTTTTTTATTACAAGAGAAAGGGGGAAGAGAAACCAAATCCTACGTGGATTGCCTATGTATCCCTCCGTGAGAAGTCAGGTTGAGAATAGTTCTGTTACATCAAAAACCTAACTTTGTTTGTCTTCAAATATAGTATCTCTTGATTGTGTCTGAGTTAACAAGCTTCGTGTTGACTATTCTGTCCATTTCCACCAAGATTAGAGCTTCTCCCGATAGTGCTCGGTGACTCACGTAGGACCTTGCCAGTTTGGTGCAAACTTTCCTTTGGCCTATTCTTGATGGGGAAAGATTTTCTTCAGAACCAACTGCCCCAGTGTGAACTGGTGAGGCGTCACTCTCTTGTTAAATGCACTGGCCATCCTGTTCTTATATAGCTAACCATGACATACTGCATCCATTCTTTTCTCATCAATGAGAATGAATTGTTCTTGTTTGACCCGTATTCATTCTACGTCATCCAATTTTGCCTTTTGAATGACTCTTAAATACAGTATCTCGACCTCTGCAGGTATCACAACTTTAGTGATTGTCCACTATCTTCCACAGGATTCTCTAGATATTCTTGTTGGATGCCTCGACTGCCCCATTAATTTGTGGTCTGTAGGCTGTGGAATTGTGTTGGACGATTCTGAACTTCTCACAGATTTCTCTCATGACGTCTTTGTTGAGGTTAGCTGCATTGTCAGTGATGATAGACTCTGGTATCCCAAATCTGTAGACGATGTTGTTTCAGACAAAATCTGCCACTACCTTCTTTGTGACGGCCTTGTAAGTAGATACCTCGGCCCATTTGGTGAAATAGTTGATAGCTACCAAAATGAAGTGATGTTTTTTTTATGCTATAGGCTCTATAGGTCTAATCACATCCATGCCCCAGGAGGCGAACGACTAAGGTGAACCTATTATGTTTAACTCATTTGGTGTAACCCATATGAAATCTCCGTGAATCTGACACTGGTAACACTTCTGTACATAGCGGATACTGTGGATTTCCCTAGTCATCCAAAAGTATCCAGCTCTCAAAATCTTCTTGGCTAATGTGAACTCGTTCATATGGAGTCTGCACGTCCCTGCATATATTTCTTCTAACAATCTGGTTGCTTCAGCAAGGTCTACACATCTTAAAAGACCTAAGTTTGGGGTCCTCCTGTACAAGACTTCCCCGTTGAGGAAAACGTGGTTTGCCAACCTCTTGAGTGCTCGCTTTTGACCATTAGTGGCATTCTCTAGGTACTCTATAGTTGCAAGGAATCCCTTGATGTCACTATACAATGGTTTACCATCTGGTTTGTTCATCTACATGGAAGCAATAGGCATGATGATCCTTGATCTCTACCTCGATGGGGTCGATGTAGTTCTTATCCGGATGCTGAACCATAGATGATAGGGTTACAAGGGCGTCGGCGAACTTGTTCTGAATTCTGGTGATGTGCTTGAACTCAATCTTTGTGAACTTCTGCACAAATCCTTCACACAATGCAGGTATGGAAGTCTCTTGACATTCTTAGTGGACCATTCCCCTAGGACTTGGTGTATCAACATATCGGAATCCCCTATGACCAAAAGTTCTTTGATGTTCATGTCAACTGCCATTCTGATTCCAAGGATGCACGCTTCGTATTCAGCCATATTATTGGTGCAACTGAATCTTATCTTTACTGATGCTGGATAATGCTGTCCAGATTCTGAAATCAGGACTGCCCCAATTCTGACTCCTTTGGAATTTGCTGATCCATCGAAAAACATTCTTCACCCAGGGTATGATTCTACAATATCCTCTCCGGCAAATAATACTTGTTCATCGGGGAAATATATGGTAAGTAGTTCATAATCCCTATCCACCAGATGTTTTGCGAGGTGGTCGGCTAAAGCTTGTCCTTTAATAACCTTCTGAGTTATGTACATAATGTCAAATTCGATGAGGAAAATCTTCCATTTAGCTAGCTTTTCGGTAAGCATCATATTTTGGAAGATGTACTTGAGCGGGTTGAGCCGAGATA